ATGATCGTGTGATCAACGACCAACTAAAAAAGTTAAAAAAACAGAAAAAAAAACACACTGACTGAATGTGGTAGAATTGAAAATTGATGAGAAACTATTTGTTTATAAATATGCAAAATTTCTATTTTCCAATAGAAATAAAATAAAAATGAGTTTTGTGTTTACTTAACATTTAACTCTGAAGAATGATCGGAATATCAAAGGACAAATATATACATATATTAGCAATTTGAAACTAAAGAATGAGATTAAAATTCAATTTACGGCCGAATAATCCCAAAATATTTGAACTTTTCTATCATTGTTTTAGTGTATTACCCTATACCGCTATAACTGAAATCAGGTTAGATTACTATTAATAGAATTAAAAATTAAATTTTTTTAAACTTAGGTAGTAAAAAGTAAAAAAAAATTAAACTTAGGTAGTAAAAAGACAAAGATAAATCGGAAATGATATCACCAAATATCCTATTGATAGAATTAATAGTACGATTGATTCAAAAAATCGATACAAGTGTAATTATTAAAAAAGAAGCAAAGAGAAGAAGTAATTTTGTTAAGTAAATGAAATTCTCCATTATTGAATTAGAAAAATTAGCAGATGAGACTGGTTTGTTAAGTTTGACAAAGTTGATAACTTTTAGGAGCAGCAAATTGACAACCTATCAGTTTTCTTTTTTTTTTGAAAACTATAGAAGGAAAAAAGAAATAAAATGAAATTATTTATACTAATCTGTTATTAACATGTGATGTTTGATAGGCATCAGCTTTTTTCATTTGCCGATATTTTTTCAAATTATTATTCCATTATTGCAATCAATTAACAATTCATTACTCCAATCAGTTATTCATTCATTACCTCAATTAATTAGCATAGCAAATTCAATCACTTCAATTTTTGTTAAAAACATTTATTCTCAAATATTGTGAAATTTCATAGCGCTCATTTAATAAATTACTGATCCATAATTTGATCAACATTTCCAATAAGTGTTACTCATTTTATTTATTATTTCCAATAATGATTGTAATTTCAGGTTGGCGGTATTTATACAGTATTACGTAGTAAGGCACCGATAAGTACCGAAGAATACGGAGATCAATACTGCATGTTAGGCCCATTACGTGAAGGAAAATGGCAATTGGAAGTGGAACAAATTGCACCTGAAAGTCAACATATTGCAAGCGCTGTTCACAAATTGAAAGAAGGTGGTTTCAAGGTAAACAATGTGATATCATTCAGGTACGATTTTAGATAGGTATAATAATCAGATTGTTAAACAATTTCTAATTAATTTTAACCGCAGTGATGAATTTTAGACAGTTTATGGACGATGGCTAATTGATGGTTATCCAAAAGTGGTACTATTTGATTTGGGTTCTGGATCCAGAAAAATGAACGATTGGAAGCAGGAAATTTATGAGCGGTTAGGCTATACATTGAAAACAAAACTTGACATTATTTTGCCATTACTGATTGATTAAAATTTTTAACGCTAATTCGAAATTTCACATAATGTAACAGCTATAATATTATTAAATTGAGTTGACGAAAGCTGAGGAAATAATTTTAATTTATTATTTCAAAAACATTTTCATTTTAATATTTCACATTCATGGCTTAAGCATATTACTGAATCTGAGTATGAAGTCATAGGTTAACGAATATCAAAAGTTTTATCGTTTTTTCGAAGAATGATAATTAAAATACATGAAATGTTAATAATCAGTAAATTAGTAAGTAAATTAAATTAGGCCAGCTATAAAAATCCCAATCTAATACGCTCTACTGAGTTGAATAAAAAAAAGGTTGAATACTCAGGGATTTAAAAGAAGTTTTAAAACTACTTTTAAAACTTTAATTTTTAACAAAGAATTTTCTAAATGGATGAAATCTTTTTTCCCCACCCATACAATTTCATGCTTAAATTGAAATTCATTTCTTACCATATCTTTTTGTTTGTTAAATATTTTTTTGTTAATTAATTAATTTAATTAAATACAAAAAAGAAATCCCATTTATATATCATTCAATTACAAAGTGTAATTTTATTGAAATTTCAGGTGTCAAATTGGTGTACCACATGAGGATATAGGATCAAACGATACAATAATTTTTGGCTTTATGGTTGCAATGTTCCTGAAACATTTTATGGATTCATACAAGAATTCCGGTTATCATAGTTTGGTTGTTGCACATTTCCATGAATGGCAAGCTAGTATGTATTTTCTTATTGTTAGATTTTCACTATAACTGCCTATTTAGGATAATATCGAATATTACAAATCAATTAAATCGATTGCTCTCCGGAAATTGAAATAATGCTAATATTTTGCTCTCTGGAAAATAAACCCATAAAATAGACACTCATAAATTATTAATCTTATTTATAATGAAACCTGAATAATAGTGTTCTTTAAATGTTGTTGTTGTTGTTGCTATTGTTGTTGTTGTTATTATTATTAACTGCTGTCAAAATTTTTAGAAATTTTTTGAATTATTTTTATTTCTATCTGTAATTTATTTGAGTATAATTATCATAATATAAATTATAGAACAACAATGATAATCGTTCGTTGTAATTTTACATTATTAATTTTTTTTTTGTATTTCCAGAAGTTAATAAATTTCGTGAAATATTTTAGCAATATGAAATATGCTATATAATTATCCAGTTTCAAATTTTCTTCTGTTTAAAATTATCTAATCTCATTGATTAATGCGAAATATTGAAATCTTGATATTGCCTTTAAAAAAATTTAAAATTATTTATTTCCTTAAGGTGTTGGATTGATTAATGCGAAACTTTGGAATCTTGATGTTGCTTTAATATATACCACTCATGCAACATTGCTAGGACGACATTTAGCAGCGGGTGGTAGTGATCTTTACAACAATCTTAATCGATTCAATTTGGATGAGGAAGCTGGAAAACGAAAGATAATTTTTAGAGATTATTTTTTATTGATAAATCTCGATAATGATATCATCATTGCCGTTCATTTTAATCTCTAAAATGCTATATCAGCGAAAAAAAAAACTTCCATATAATTTAAATTATTTTACTATTAATTGTTAATTTAGGGTAGCTATTAAACATTTAATTAGATTATCAGTTAAATTCTTTTATTTATTGCTACTGTATTTTGCAGGATACAAAATTGATTGTTTATCATGATAGATGTATAATAATTAGTTCATTATAGGAATTTAAAATTCAATAATTGCAATATTCTTCTTTTATTTGTTTGTTTGCTTTTTTTCTCTTTCTTTTTTTTTGGAATACTCTATATGACAATAATTGGGAAAAAAAATTTTTTTACAAAATTTTTGATTGGTTTTTTTTTTACTTCACTTCCATTGTGAGAAATTCTGAAAAAAACTGAAAAAAAGTATTTGAAATATTTTAGCATTTTATTTTTAGATTTATCATCAATATTGCATGGAACGAGCAGCATGTCGTATGGCACATGTTTTTACAACAGTTAGTGAAATAACAAGCATTGAAGCGGAACATTTAATTCAACAAAAGCCGGATATCGTAACACCAAATGGTCTCAATGTTGTGAAATTTGCCGCTTTGCATGAATTTCAGGTTTTATTCATTTCATTTCATCTGAACCATTTGATTGCTTTATTTTTCGTTTGAAAAATGAGTTATGTTGGAATGAGTAAAATTAGAAAAATATATTTTGTTTCATATGCTAATGATTAAGGCTCGATTAAGGCTGCTAATAATTAAGGTTTTAACATTAATGGTGATACTTTTATAATATCAAAGGATGGGTTATTCTTCATTAAAATAGATAATAGTATAGTATTAGCAATAATTTAAAATATTTTTTTTACACTGCAAACTTGTTTATTTTTAGGCCATTTTTGTCCATTATGTCTCTTTAGGCAATTTCTGTCCATTTCTAGTCATTTAGGCCGTTTTTGTCCATTTCCGTCTGTTTTCGTCCATTTTTAGGACCAGTTATAGAAATTGGCCTAAAAATGGACAAAAAAGAAAAGGCGTGGAAAATGATGTTGATTTAAATAGAGAGGCAATGCAAAGAACACCGTCTTTTTTTTTGTTAAAATTTTTATTTATAGTTATTTAAAGAAAGATTTAAAATGTCACATGCATAGGTGTTAAAATTATTTTAATGACTTCTGCAATTCAAATTTTAATGTGAAATGAAAAAAAATTATTTCGAGTCTCTAAAACAAAAGAAAAGAAAAGATTTATGAAATAGTTAAAATTGAAGTCAAAAAATCAATAATTCAGTAGCATTGTTTCTCAAAAAGTTTTCCGTAAATTCTTTCGAAAATTTAAAATCGATTAAAAATGAAATCAATCCATCTACTTGATAGCATTTATGTAGAAATTTTAAAAAGAATAAAGGTTATGTTATCTAACATGCATGAGAGGGCTCATCAAATAGTAAATATTTATTTTTCAATTTGTTTCATTCTTTTATCGTGCCGCCATGAACTACAAATAATGGAGCAGTGATCATCATTTCCAATCTTTATCAAATATTGAAA